CCACTTGCCGCCGCTCCTCCCACTGTGGTGTGCAGTGCTCGTGGATGGGGTCATCGCTGTCGCTACTGATGGAACGGGGAAGCGAAGTGCGACCGCTCCCCCATCTTTTCCTGTCACGAGCAAAATCGCCGCGGACGGCTTTTCGGTCATTTTCAAGGAGGCCCCGGATCGCCAGAGCTGGCTTCGGAGGAAAAGCTGGCCTCGGGGGAGAGGTCGATACGGCCCAGGGTCTACGTTGCGAACGAATCACGATTCCGCTTGCCGCCGCCCCCGCCCTGTTCCCCCTCCTCCTCCTCTTCTTCTTACCAGCACGTGCGTGCTCCTTCGAGCATCTCCCAGCATCTCCTGGATCTCGCGGCCTCGCGGTCGGGGCTCCCCACGGCCGCGACACAGCGCGAGCGCGGGGAGGCGGAGGCGCGGAGGCCCCCCCACGCGGGAGGCATCCACGGGATCGCGCACCCGCGGGAGCCAGATCGCGACTGCACGGATGGACATGCTCATGCTCGTCGCTGGTGAGTCCTGCTCGTCCGTTGCCCCCTGCTCATCCTGCTCCTGCTCCGTCCTGTCCCTCCCGCCTCTCCAGGCCTCCCAGAGGAGGTCCGAGCAGATGGGGTCGGAGGGTCGCGCAGCATCGCCGATGCATCGGCGATGCGGCACGATGTGAAGCCCTACTTTCCCCACGCCGACGGCGCCGAGACGTCGCCGACTTCGCCGATGCGTCGCCCATGCATCGCCGATGTATCGCCGATGCATTGGTCATGCGGCGCGATCCTCCGACCCCATCTACTCGGACCCCACCTAGGATTAAGTCGGGAGTGTCCCTCTGCAGGAGAAATATTCGAGAACGTTAATTCTTTCAAAAAAATAAATAAATAAAAAAATGTGTCGTTCAACATCCGCCTGTAGGGGGACATGCCCGACCTCTAGGAGGCATCTAGCCTCGTCCCTGCTCCCAGAGGGTTCCAAAAGGGGGGGTTGGGGGAGGGGGTTTTTCCAGGAGGGGCCCCCCAGGGGCTTCGCGCCCCCCGTTTTGACGGGGCTCCGATGCCTCTGCGGGGCTCCCTGGAAAACCCCCTCCCCCCCAAACCCCGTTTGGAACCCTCTGGTGCTCTCCCCCGGTCAAAGTTTTTTTGTTGCCATCAACGGCAATGCCTCAGGAAAAGGATTCAGGAGAAAGCGTGCGAGACAACACCGTCCCTCCAAAAACAAAATCAGCCCGAGTCGTCGGAAATCGAACAATTTCGAACAGCCACAGGCCCCTCATCCTCTTCAAGGTAAGGGCCCGCGGAAGAAAACAGAAAACGAGCAGCCTCCTCCTCCTGCTCCAGACAGGGGCCCCGCCTGGGAGGGCAGGATGCGGCTGCGGCACTGAAAGACAAAGTCCCCCCCCCGCCGTCCTCTTGCTCCCCCACCTCTCCCAGCTGCTCGCACACCCCAGGGAGGGGGGGGGGGGGCGAGAGGAGCGGCCTCTTCCGAGACGGCAGCATGAGAGATCCTCTTCAGAGGGCTCTCGGAGGCGCCTGAGGTTCTCGGACGCCTTCGACCCCTGGAGACTTTTTCCCAACCATCCTGTGGTGTTGGGTCCTCGTTTTGAAGAGACGGACGGTCCCCGTGGTCCTCTCCTCCTCTCCTTTTCTCCTCCTCCTCCCTCCTCCCTTTTCCATGCGTTTCACCCACCCAGCACAGCGCTGCGTGGCCTGGCTCCACCGAAGCCCCCAGTGGGACCGCCCGCATACGTCTGCCACCACCCAGCAAAGCCCTTGCTTGTTGTGTTTCACCCACGCAGTACAGCGTTTCGTGGCTCCATAAGGGGGCCCCACGGAAGGTCCCAGTGGCACCGCCCGCATGCGCCCGCCACCACCCAGCACAGCCCTTGCTTCCTGCGTTTCACCCACCCAGTACAGCGCTTCGTGGCCCCATAGGGAACTCCACCGAAGGTCCCAGTGGCACCGCCCGCATGCGTCCGCCACCGCCCAGCACAGCCCTTGCTCCTTGTGCTTCACCCACTCAGTACAGCGCTTTGTGGCCCCATAAGGAAACTCCACCGAAGGTCCCAGTGGCACCGCCCGCATGCGTCCGCCACCACCCATCACAGCCCTTGCTTCCTGCGTTTCACCCGCCGAGTACAGCGCTGCGTGGCCCCATAGGGAACTCCACCGAAGGTCCCAGTGGCACCGCCCGCATGCGTCCGCCACCACCCAACACAGCCCTTGCTCCTTATGCTTCACCCACTCAGTACAGCGCTTTGTGGCCCCATAGGGAACTCCACCGAAGGTCCCAGTGGCACCGCCCGCATGCGTCCGCCACCACCCAGCACAGCCCTTGCTAGGGCGAGACGGCGTGCGACCACGACGCCCTCCACGCAGCTTTCAAGGGTGTGTGTTTATCTCGCGGCTTCCGAGCTCAACAGCCGCTGACGCGCGTGCACAAACACCCACCCACTACAGCGTTTCGTGTTCCCATAGGGAGCTCAACGGAGGGTCTCAGTGGCACCGCCCGCATGCGTCCGCCACCACCCAACACGGCCCTTGCTCCCTGCGTTTCACCCACCTTGTACAGCGTTTCGTGGCCCCGTAGGGAGCGCCACCGAAAAAGATATTCACAATTGCGGAACTCACAACTGCATATGGTTGGGTCTTTCGCCTGGCTAATTTTTCGGGTCCGGCGATAGCTATGTTTATCGGGCTTGCCCCCCCCCGAGGATAACCTAACCTTTCCGGCGGGGTGGTAGGGCGTGGGCATATGCAGGGTTGCCCCACAGCACGAAGGTTAGGTTATCGGCCGACCTCCTCCCCCCCGGATAACCCGGGTTATCGCCGATTCAATTAAACGGTCTGTTGTGGAGAGCGTCTCTTGAGGAACCCTCCCTTTCGACACACTGAAAAGCAGTGTGGCATCATGATTCCTTCGAAGCAAGGAGGGATTCTTGGAAGGCCGCCCCGCCGTCTCACCACCCGTCTGCTCGCGCCGTCAACGCTCAGTATATTTTTCTTATTCGTCGTCCTCCTCATGTTCCCCATCCTCTCCAAGTGCTAAGTAAGTCGGGCCCGTCCCTCTACAGGAGGAAAATTCAAAGATAGTTTTAAAAAAGTCAAGGGACGATGTTTCCCAACCATCCTGTGGCGTTGGGTCGTCGTTTTGAAGAGACGGTCCCCGCGTTCCTGTCCTCTTCTCCTCTCCTCCTCCTCCCCCTTCCTCCCCCCTCCTCCTTCTTCCATGCGTTTCACCCACCCAGCACAGCACTTCGTGGCCCCATAGGGAACTCCACCGAAGCCCCCGGTGGGACCTCCCGCATGCGTCCGCCACCACCCAGGACAGCCGCCCTCTGCGTTTCACCCACCCAGTACAGCGTTTCGTGGCCCCATGAGGGGGCTCCACCGAAGCCCCCAGTGGCACCGCCCGCATGCGTCCGCCACCACCCAACACAGCCCTTGCTCCTTGGGTTTCACCCACCCAGTACACCGTTCCGTGGCCCCATAGGGGGCCCCAGGGAAGGTCCCAATGGCACCGCCCGCGTGCGTCCGCCACCACCCAGCACGGCCCTTGCTCCCCACCGCCCAGCACAGCCATTGCACCCAGTACAGCGTTTCGTGGCCCCATAAGGGGGCTCCACCGAAGTCCCCAACGGGACCGCCCGCGTGCGTCCGCCACCACCCAGCACAGCCCTTGTTCCCTGCGTTTCACCCACCCAGTACGGCGCCTCGTGGCCCGATAAGGGGGCTCCACGGAAGGTACCAGTGGCACCGCCCGCATGCGTCCGCCACCACCCAGCACAGCTCCCTGCCTTCCACCCGTCCAGTGCAGCGCTTCGTGGCCCCATAAAAGGGGGCTCCACGGAAGGTCCCAGTGGCACCGCCCGCATGCGTCCGCCACCACCCAACACGGCCCTCGCTACCTGCGCTTCACCCACCCAGTACAGCGTTTCGTGGCCCCATAGAGAACGCCACCGAAGAAGGTATTCACAACTGCGGTACTCACGACTGCATATGTTTGTGTCTCTCGCCAGGCTAATTTAGATTATTGTTGTGCATGTTTAGACTTTGTTTTGACTATCTCTTATTTCTCGTCCAAAATCCCCCTGTAGGTGGACAGGCCCGACCTAATCCCAGTGTTCTTCCACGTGCCCCGTCGAAGTCGCAGCGCCGATGGGCCGTGTATGATTCGGGTTGGGCGCGGCATCGGCGTTGCTCGGCGTCGCCGAAGCGTCCGTGTGCGAGCGTCTCGCTTCGCACCGACTTCCGTGAGGTCCCTCCCCCCCTCTCCACAATCACAGACTAGAGGCGTGCCAGAAGCTCGCATCATTGTGTTTTCCCACGTGGGCGCTGTGCCTGTACCAATCGCGAGCCGCCTGTGAGCTGGGCGCCCCTGGGCTCTGCAGCCCAGACGCGTGCGTCCGCGGACCACGTCCTGGATAGCCTCTGCGGGCCTCTGGAGTGACGGCCGTGGTTGCGGTTGAGTCGGGCGTGTCCACCTACAGGGGGATGTTGGGCGAAGAATAAACAAATCAAAAAATGCTCCCAAAATGTTCAAAAATAGAAAGAAAATAGTCCCCATTGCATGTTTTGACTATTTTGGAACACTCCTCCTGTAGAGGGACAGGCCCGACTTAAGGTTGCGGCCCCTTGGGCGGCTCCGGACGGAGCTTGGCCTTGCGCGGGTCGCGCTGGCAGCGCCCGGTGCTCCGATCCGGCGGGGCCGGTGCAGCGGGGGGTGCCGCCACTGTCAAAGGGCTGCTCGCTCGCAGCTCCACTTCAGTGTCATCCCCCAGCCCCCCCCCTCTCCCCTTCTCCTCCTCTTGCTCCTCCTCCCCTTCTTCCTCGTGCTTCTCCTTTTCCCCTCTCTCTCTCTCTTTCTCGCCCTTTCCTGACATTTCCCTGCCCCTCTCTATAGGCAGCCACCCTCGTGCTTTTCCTCTTCGTATTCCTCCTATGCCTTCCTCCCCGCTGGAGGCGTTCCACCAGGCCTACCCAGAAGCTGTGCTGGCGGAGTCTGTGGAGCAGGCTTGCCTGTTCCCATGCTAGAGTGAGATCGCCGCCTGCATGCCATGTGCTGCCAGCTGGAGCACGCGTCACGCAGCTCGTGTATGTTGGTCACCTTGTGTAGCGGAGTGAAGACAGAAGGATCGAGAGAGAGAAAGAGGGAACGAAGCAGAGCCAGGGAGAGAAGGGAAGGGGTAGGAGAGAGAGGGAGAGAGAGGCAGAGCGAGAAAGAGAGAGAGAGGGAGACGGGGAGAGACAGAGTGAGAGAGAGAGAGAGACAGAGAGTACACTTCGGCTGACCTTGTTGTGAGTGGTCGCACGTCATTGGCGGCGGTGCGAAATGGCGCACTGAGGAGCGTGGATCACCACCAGCAACGCTGGACTTCACGACGCATCCCCTGTGGGAGGAGGAGGGGGAATGTTCCAGGTTTCAGATTCTGCCAGCCTCTGCCAGACTGCGCAGGCCAATGTGGACTGCCGCCCTCAGGGGATTCAGGAGACAGGAGTGGAGGAGACAGAGGAGGAGGAGGAGGCGGAGGCGTGAGGTGGAGGCAGAGGAGGATCAAGTGGGGCGCGTGCGCGCGCGCGCGACTTGCTGTACCCTTCGATGGGGCAGTCGGGAGCGCCCACCACCTGTCCCTGGCTCCGTCCTAGGGCAGCTTAGACACGTCTGCTGGCGTCTTCTGTGCTTCCATATCTTCCTCCAGGACCAGACGTCTGCGCGGGTTGGAAGAGGACGGGGGTGGAAATGGTCAACCAAACCTGCGCCGTGGGCAGACGCAGGTCGTCACGAAAAAACTGCGTGTCGGGAACGGTGTCACGACCCGAGCTCCCCGCCCCACCATCCTGGGGGAGATCCGGAGCTGGACCGGGAGGTGAGGGTCCTGGGCACCGAAACGAATCCCCAACGCCCGTTTTTTTTCTTCTCTGGATATGTATATTTGTATATATATATACACATACACATACACATACACATACACATACACATACACATACACATACACATACACATACACATACATACATACATACAGACAGACAGACAGACAGACAGACAGACAGACAGACATACATACATACACACATATGGACACACACATACACACATACATACATACATCCATATATACATCCATCCATCCATCCATCCATCCATACATACATACATACATACATACATACATATGGACATACATACACACATACATACATGCATGCATGCATGCATGCATACATACATACGTACGTACATACATACATACATACATGCATGCATGCATGCATGCATGCATACATACATACATACATACATACGTACATACATACATACATGCATGCATGCATGCATGCATGCATGCATGCATGCATACATATATATATATACACATATATGTACTTATATAAACGCCAGGCTGTTAGGGGTGGATGCGCGGCAGCTGCAGGGCAGGCAAGCACGCTTCACGACCTGTCCGAGGCTGGCAGACGTGCGCCTGGCCGTTCGGCGGCGCCGTCGGCGCCGCTTCCAGACAGAGTTGCTCCCCACTGGACAGGTCGGGGTCGTTCGATTTTACTTGGTATCGCTCGGACGTGTGCACTTGTTCTCGGCGGGGACTATTAAGGAGCATCCTGGATCATCCTGCGAGAAAACCCGCGCGCGAAACCAAGAAGAGCACAGGGGATGGACGTCCGAGCGAGGGCCAGGTGAAGAGCAGACCTCCGGGCCACTCCCACCCTGCTCGATGACGCCTTCTGGGATGACCGTGGGGGCTCTTAAGTGGATAGGGGGGTTACAAGTGGATGCCAAGGTGGGTTATATCTGGCCCAACCTGGCTTATAAGTGGGTTACAATGGCCCTAAGTAGCTCAGGGGGGTTAACTATCTGGGCTAGGTGGGCTCCGCCCACTTAGCCGAGTTATCGACCCCCCCTAAGCTACTTGGGGCACTTGTAACCCACTCATAAGCCAGGTTGGGCCAGATATAACCCACCTTGGCATCCACTTGTAAACCCCCTATCCACTTAGGAACCCCCACGGTCATCCCAGTTGGAGTGACCCTTCGCCGGAGTGACCTCCGGTGCGGCCTCATCGGGGGCCCCCCCGATCGCTCCGCGCGAAGCGACAGCGGCGGTCGGCGCGCCTGGATGTGGCCACGCTGCGCCCCCCTAGTCTCAGGAGGGGAAAAAACACACAGACACAATTAATCGGCGATTTTTAGAAAAATATGGGAAAATATGGGAAGTGGGGGGGAAGACAAAAGCCCAGAAAATATGGGAAAATATGAGGGATATTTTTATTTCTGTGTATTTAGTAGTGTGTCTCACTTCCCCTTCACCCTAGTCCGCGCACCAGAGGTCACTCTTACCCAGGGCCACTCTTGCGGGTAGTCGTCCTGCACACCGCGGCCGCCAGACCCCAAGGTGTCCCGAGTGTCCCGGTTCTCCCGTCTCGCGCCCGCGACAAACACGGCAGAACACGCCCTGCATACCGCGGCGGCCAGACCCCAAGTTGTCCAGAGTGTCCCGTTTCTCCCGCCTGGCGCCCTCGACAAACGCGACAGAACACAATATGGCACAACATGGCAGAACAGAGCAAGAGCAGGACAGAACATGGCAGAACATAGCAGATCAATATCTTCACAAAATAGAGGGCACCAGCATATCACATAACATACCAGAGCATAAGATGACATAACAGAAAACGACAGAACACAAGGTACGATAACAAAACTGAGCATAGCATAAGACACATTGACATGACATATCATGGTATGGCACAGTGTCGCCAAACATATCACTAGGTGACAGCAGAGCATGGCGGCGAACACGCCAGAACACAACATGCCACACCAGAAGATGACATAACACAGCACGATCATGTCAAAACATGACAGAAGATATCATAGCAATATAGTGGCACACCTGATGATATGATATTATATAACACATCATACCATAGCCTGGTAGAACAGAAGGCGGCATACCACAGCATGACATAGCACAATCGCGGAAGACATAATACACCTTGCCAGAACATCCCATAGCATTGCACTTCATCGCAGAACGAAGCATAACACGGCAGTAAATCATGTCGCCACATACTAGCATAGCAGGCCATGATATAGTATACGGTGCCGAGCCGTCCACGAACATAGCATCACATACCATACCAGAGCATACCATGATATAACAAAAGACGGCATAGGGCAACATAACATACTACATCTGATCATAACATAACACACATTATGGCCGGATGCATCATATCAATACACATCATCACAAAACGTATCATAACACGGCACCAGAGCATTGCGAAACAGACTAGCAGGGCACATCATAACGTAATGTACTCAGCCGAGTCGTCAACCGCATCACGGAACAGAGCACACTATAACATGATCTGTCAGCATGCCAAGCAATAACACAGTGCCGCAACGCAGATCATACCATAGCCCGTAGACGGGCTAACGGCGATGTAGGTAGCGGCGATGTAGGCTTCGGTATTGTGGAAACGCGTGGCTCGCGCTTTCCTACAATTCGCCGTGTCGTGCTCGCTCGGTCCGTTCGCAGACTGGGAGTGCAGAACGGTGTGGTTCGTGATGTCCTTCACTGTGGTTCCCGACATCACCGTCAAGCAAGATCGCCGTTTGCCCGGCCTTGGATAGCATCTCCAACCATGCGGTGACAGATATGAGCCAACGAAAAACAAAAAATGATGAGGAGGTGGAGGAGGAGGAGCAGGAGGAAGAGGAGGAGGCGGGGGAGCAGAAAAGGAGGAGGAGGAGGAGCAGGAGGTGAAGGAGGAGGAGGGAGTAGGAGGAGGGGAGGAGGAGGAGGAGGAGAGGAGAGGAGGAGGAGGAGGTGCCGCGGGGGGCTCCGCCCGGGGCCGCCGCGCGCTCCGCGCCTGCTCGGGGGGGCGGAGCAGACGAGGGCGACGGGGGGGAGAGGGCGGGGGGCGAGGCGCGCACGAGGAGGGAAGGGGACGAAGCACAGGGCGAGGAGAGGGAACGGAGGAGGAGCAGGAGGAGGAGGAGGAGGGAGAGGGGGGGGAGGAGGAAGGAGGAGGAGGAGGGGAGGAGGAGGGAGGAGGGAGGAGAGGAGGAGGAGGAGGAGGAGAGGAGGAGGAGGAGGAGAGGAGGATGAGGAGGAGGAGGAGGGAGGAGGAGGAGGAGGAGGAGGGGAGGAGGAGGAGGAGGAGGAGGAGGAGGAGGAGGAGGGGGGGGAGAAGGAGGAGGAACAGGAGGAGGAAGGAGAGGTCCGCGTCACCTCCCTCCTCCTCCTCCTCCTCCTCCTCGTCCTTCGTCGTCCGCCCCCTCCTCGTGGTGCTGCTGCTGTTCCGCCTCTTCCTCCTTTACCGGAGGTTGATACCATCTCCGAGCAAGTTTTGGTGTATTCGGGGGTGGACAGAACCCGCACCCTGACACGTCGATTAGTGAATTGTCCGTTTTCGGTTTTCGAGAGGGCGCCGCGGCCGTCATTTTCCTGCTTGCGCCCGCCAGGTTTGGGCCCGAGGTCGTTTTCACTAAACCACGTTTTACTAAAGGGGGTTCTGTCCATCCCCGATGTATCGCAAAACGCGTGTTTGGTTTGGTTTTGTCCTCGTCAGGGGCCTGGGGTTTGTTAGGGCTCGGAAACATCAACTCGCGACCTGGCCCGGCCGCCGCGCTGGCCGACGCCGCCGGGTATTGCGCACACCCTTCCAGTAGGCGCGCGCACCGTTGGGACCAAACGCTGAAGGTTGGGATCGCTCGAAGCAAAATAATTGTTGAACCCGCCGGTAGATTTGGATCATACATGAGAAGGATCCTCTTCTGACGGCCCCAGCCCGGGATTTAATCCGATCCCTCTGCTGGCATCCCTCTCCCCTCTCCTCTCCTTCCCCGTCCCCTCGTCTCCTCCGTCTTCCTCCTCCTCTGTCCTCTGTCCTCTGTCCTTCTCATCCGTCCTCCTCCTCTCTCCTTCGTCCTCTCCGTCCTCGTCCTCTCGTCCCCTCTCCTTCCTCCTCCTCTGTCCTCCTCCT